AGAAGTTTTTGGATATACAGATGCTGATTGAGTTGGTTCCATTACAGATAGACGCTCTACATCGGGTTACTTTACATTCGTTGGAGGTAACCTAGTCACTTGGCGGAGTAAAAAACAAAATATGGTTGCTCGATCTAGTGCAGAAGCAGAGTATCGAGGAATGACTCAAGAAGTTTGTGAATTATTGTGGATAAGAGGACTCTTGACATAATTGAGTTTTAAACTAGATAAGTCAATGGAGTTATATTGTGATAACAAGTCAGCTATCGATATTGCTCATAATCCAGTTCAACATGATCGAACTAAACATGTTGAGGTGGATATACATTTCATCAAAGAAAAAATTGAGAACAATATCATCTGTCTTCCCTTTGTAAAATTAGAAGATCAATTAGCGGATGTCTTAACAAAAGTTTTCTGTGGAGGAGTGTTAACGTGAGTTAACCTACTAAATCAAGGAGATTTATTTCCTAAGTTAATTAGGTGATTTACTTCCTTGTTTTATATAATTGACACATCCTTGTATAATTAAGAGATATTGTCCTAATTAATTACTGTATCTACTTCCTTGTATCTCTCCATTGCAAACTGCTATATATCTCCTTATGGAGAAGAATACGATTAACCTAAAGTATTCACTCCATATTCATATTTTAGCACTTATACAACCGTTTGGCCATCGTGCAGAACAACACATGCAATTTTGGACCTAAGCTCCTTGGTACTATCCAATTGCTGAGATCTCTTGCATATTTGGCTTGAAATCGAAAAAATGTAAGGTTCAGTCCATCTTTTCTAAACACATTGCTTTGTTACATATTTGGACAACATATATACTTGTGTTCTTATTATGAGCCAGTATCTGTCTTTTGGAGCATGTCCACTTACTGTTAACTATTAAGCTGTTTTCGAGTCCTTTCGCAGCGTGCTATCCACCATGATCATAGCCTTGCTTCTGCTATTTATGGTTTTCCATAATGCTTCTTCCTCTAGTGCACTTGGTACTAATGTTGCTGCAAGACCTGATGTTGTGAACATTGGTGCTATTATCACTTTCGATTCTGTCGTTGGAAAAATTGCAAAACTTGCAATAGCCATTGCAGTTGAAGATGTCAATTCTGATCCTGAAATTCTCAATGGAACAAAGCTGACACTCAAAATGCAGAACAGCAGATCTAATGACTTTCTTGGAATTGTTGATCTGGGTACAAACTTTCGAACTTTCTCGTGTATCTTAAGAAGTTCCTTTGCAAAAGTCATAGAATCTAATTGAAAAGCTTATAATTTTTCCTCTTCCTTACAGCTTTGCAGTTTATGGAGAATGACACAGTGGCCATAATTGGTCCCCAATTCTCAGCTACGGCTCGTATGCTCTCACACATTGCAAATGACCTAAAAGTCCCTTTATTATCATTTTCAGCGACAGACCCAACCCTTTCTCGAGTTCAATTCCCTTTCTTGGTTAGGACAACACGAAGTGATCTCTTTCAGATGACTGCGGTAGCAGACCTTGTTGCCTTCTATGAGTGGAGAGATGTCATAGCAATTTACGTTGATGATGATCTTGGGAGAAATGCCATTGCTGCCTTAGGGGATAAGCTAGCCGAAAAGCGGTGTAGAATTTCATACAAAGTGCCTCTGAAACCCAAAGCAACAAAAGATGATATCACTAAAGCACTGATTAGTGTGTCTTCAATGGAATCTAGGATTCTCATCGTCCACATTTATACGAATTGGGGTCTACAAATGTTTAGTGAAGCACAAAACCTCATGATGATGGGGAGTGGATATGTATGGATTGCTACTGATTGGTTGTCTACCATATTAGACACAGATCATTCCTTACCTTTTGTGGCAACAAAGGACATTCAAGGAGTTCTTACATTGCGCATGTACACACCAGAGTCGGAACTCAAAACAAGAATTCAATCGCGGTGGAGCAACTTGATGAGAGGATTTAATGGCTCTTCTTTCGGGCTAAATACGCATGGTCTATATGCCTATGACTCTGTATGGCTTCTTGCTCTTGCCATTGATTCATTTCTGGCTCGTGCAGGGAATGTCTCATTTTCAAATGACTCAAATGTAAGCGATTTACGTGGAGGAAAGGTGTGCATCTTTAATGAAGGAAGCCAGTTGGTTCAAAGCATTTTAGAGGTTAATGCAACTGGTGTAACAGGGCCACTTAAGTTTAACCCAGATGGGGACTTGATCAATCCTGCATTTGAAGTCATCAATGTGATTGGCACAGGGACCAGGACTGTTGGATATTGGTCTAATTCTTCTGGCCTTTTAGTTGACCCTCCAGAGAAGCCCCAAAGGAAGAAGCAATCTAATGGTTCCAGTACAAGTAGTCAACAACTATACAGCGTCATCTGGCCGGGACAAACAACTCAGAAGCCTCGTGGGTGGGTTTTCCCAGAAAACGGAAAAAAGCTCAGGATTGCTATCGTAAGTCGAGTTAGTTATCATGAGTTTGTGAGTGTGAAAGGCACTGATGTCACTGGCTATTGCGTTGAGGTATTTCGAGCTGCACTAAATGAGTTACCTTATGGCGTCCCATATAAGTTTGTCCTTTTCGGGGATGGTAAAGTAAATACAGAACCAAATGAACTTCTGCACAAGATCCAAACTGGTGTGAGTATACATTCCAAAAGATTAATAATATACAGTATGCTGTCATGTGAATATATTAAGCTCTTTGAATGTCCATCTTTATGCAGGAACTTGACGGTCTAGTTGGAGATATTACCATCACCACTAGCAGAACAAAACTTGCTGATTTTACACAGCCATATGTTGAGTCTGGGCTAGTTGTAGTTGCTCCAATAAGGAAGTTGAACTCTAGTGCTTGGGCATTTTTGAGACCTTTTACTCCAATGATGTGGGGTATCACATGTATTTTCTTCCTAGTTGTGGGAGCAGTTGTTTGGATTTTGGAGCATAGAACGAACAAGGATTTCCGGGGACCTCCAAGAAAACAATTTGTGACTGTTGTTTGGTTAGTACTCTAATCCATATATCCAAATGCCGATTTGATTAATGTTGATGCAAATTCGAGTATACGTTGTCTGAGTCAGTTTATCTTCACCTCTTCAATTAAGGCTATAATCCCCAACTGGAATATGTAACATTTTTCTTTGGGTTCTTCAGGTTTAGCTTTTCAACTTGGTTCTTTTCCCACAGTAAGTCCATACTGCTTGACTTGTTCATGCACAAAGAAACTTATGTTATGCATTACATACAAGTGACTGATCTTATTCCTTGGTAACATATGCAGAAGAAAACACTGTCAGCACGCTTGGTCGGTTTGTGTTAATTATATGGCTATTTGTAGTTCTAATAATCAACTCAAGCTACATTGCAAGCCTGACCTCAATCCTCACAGTGGAGCAGCTTTCTTCCCCCATTAAAGGCATTGAAAATTTAGCAACAGGAAATGATCCCATTGGTTTCCTGAACGGTTCCTTTGCTGAAAGATACTTGACAGACGAGCTAAACATACATAGGTCCAGACTTGTGCCCCTTAACTCACCAGAAGAATATGAGAAGGCCTTGGAAGATGGCCCTAGCGCAGGCGGTGTGGCTGCAATTGTTGACGAGCGCACTTACATGGAGCTCTTCCTCTCTGTTCGATGCGGATATAGTATTGTAGGTCAAGAATTCACGAAAATGGGGTGGGGATTTGTAAGTGTCTTATTTCATGTGATCATCCTCCCTATCACATACCATTGCTTAACACACAATGACACTGTTTTGATTGCATGTGTATGTTGGCTGGTTTTTTCATGCATTTTAGGCCTTTCCACGGGACTCGCCACTGGCAGCTGACATGTCAACCGCCCTGCTGAAACTATCAGAGAAGGGGGATCTCCAAAAGATTCATGACAAGTGGCTGATGAAGAGTGCTTGTAGCGCGCAAGGAACAAAGCAAGCAGTAGACCGCCTACCACTGAAAAGCTTTTGGGGCCTGTTCCTGCTAAGCGGCATTGCTTGCTTTCTTGCTCTCCTTCTTCATGTTATTCGCCTTGTGCACCAATTCTACAGGTATTCAGATTCCGACTGTGAGAGCTCCCTGCACGGACGTCTTCGATCCTTTGTTTCATTTGTATATAAAAGGGAACAAGAAGAGAAGAAAAGCCGAACCAAGAGAAGGAGGACTGAGAAAGCCTCAAATAAAATAGTGCATGAAAGGTTTTAATCAGATGACAGAGTTCTCGTTTGCTAAGCAGAAAAGCCTAATCAGTATGCCTTCAAGAAACTTAATTCAGCCTTCAAGTATTTCAACTCAAATCATTAACATAACGCCAGCCATTGTGCAGCAGAAAACAAATAAGAACAGAACCCATTAAAATTTACGTATCAAACTATCCAAACAAACACATACATACATACATAGCTACATATATCATATATGCATAGACGTTACGTTCTTGAACATGACTGAAGGACATAACAAATTGATTGCTTTTACCGATCAAAAGCTTTCTGCTTTTCTGGTACTTGGCGATTGACGCAGCGATTAAGTCCATTTTCAGGCGTGGAACCATCGATCTCCTGAGTGCTCTTTCCTCTTTGGTGGGAAGGTGAAAGTTTTTTTTACACAGGAAGGTTAAAGGTTGAAAATTGGAATTTACTAGGAGCTTTTGGAAATTAATAATGAATTAAAATGCCTTTTTGGACCACCATTGCAAGTTGCAACAAAGAAAGCAAAATAACCTTTCCCGCCAATAGAAGCTGGCTATACTTTTTCATTCAAGTAATGTGCACTTAGAACTGATCAGAAGACCCATAGAAGTTTTAAACTTTAATCTAGTACCTCTTAAATGCATTGAATTGATTAGCAAGTCATTTTCCGAAACACTCGCATACACGTTTTTAACACAAAGCCACCTATATGTCTATCAGTCTTCCACACAGAGAGTTTGATACAAGTTACTTCATTAACTTGTCATCAGTTCATAATTAAATAGACTGAATTAAGTTTCTTCAAGGCATACTGATGTAAAAGAGAACTCTGTCATCTGATTAAACACTTTCATGCACTATTTTGGTTGAAGCTTTCTCAGTCCTCCTTCTCTTGGGTCGGCTATTCACTTCTTGTTCCCTTTTATTTGCAAATGAAACAAATGATCGAAGACGTCTAGACTGTGGGCTCTCACAGCATGAATCTGAATACCTGTAGAATTGGTGCACAAGGCGAATAACATGAAGAAGGAGAGCAAGAAAGCAAGCTATGCCGCTTAGCAGAAAGAGACCCCAAAAGCTTTTCAGTGGCAGGCGGTCTACCGATTGCTTTGCTCCTTGTGCACTGCAAGCACTTTTCATCAGCCACTTGTCACGAATCTTTTGGAGATCCCCCTTCTCTGACAGTTTCAACACCGCGGTTGACATGTCAGTTGCTAGTGGTGAGTCCCTTGGAAAGGCCTAAAATGCATGAAAAAACCAACAATCATACACAACATGCAATCAAAAGAATGTCATTTTGTGTTTAGCAATGGAATTTTAAGGGGAGGATGATCACATGAAAGAATAAGATACTTACAAATCCCCACCCCATTTTCGTGAATTCTTGACCTACAATACTATATCCGCATCGAACAGAGAGGAAGAGCTCCATGTACGCACGCTCGTGAACCACTGCAGCAACACCACCTGCGCTGGGCCCGTCTTTTAAGGCCTTCTCAAATTCTTCTGGTAAGTTAAGGGGAACAAGTCTTGAACTGTGTATGTTTAGCTCGTCTGTCAAATATTTTCCAACATAGGAACCGTTTGGGAAACCAATGGGATCATTGCCTGTTGCTAAACTTTCAATGCCTTTAATGGGGGAAGAAAGCTGCTCCACTGTAAGGATTGAGGTCAGGCTTGCAGTGTAGCTTGAGTTGATTATTAGAACTACAAATAGCCATATGATTAGCACAAACCGACCAAGCGTGCTGTCAGTTTTTTCTTCTGCATATGTTACCAAAAAGGAATAAGATCAAACAGTTATATAAGTAACATTTAACATAATATAAGCTTCTTGGTTCATTTCACTTACTCTGGGAAAAGAACAAAGTTGAAAAGCTAAACCTGCGAGAAGAAGCAATAATTATATACCAATTAGAGAGTTTAGATCAAGAGATGATTAAAAACCAACCAAGAAAATCTTTGTGGAATGTATTGAAATTTTGCATTTGAATATGTGGATTGAAGCACTTACCAAATAATTGTGACAAATTGGTTTCTTGGAGGGCCCCGAAAATCCTCATTTGTCCTACGCTCCAAAATCCAAACTACTGTTCCAACAACTAGGAAGAAAATGCCTGTGACACCCCACATCATTGGAGTGAAAGGTCTCAGAAAAGCCCAAGCACTAGAGTTCAACTTCCTTATTGGAGCAACCACAACTAAACCAGACTCAATATATGGCTGTGTAAAATCCACCATCTTTGTTCTGCTAGTGGTGATGGTAATATCTCCAACCACACCATCAAACTCCTGTATAAAGATGGAAATCCAAAGAATTAATAATTATAGTAATGTCAAGCAAAGTCTAAATAGTTTCTGTTTTGTAGTTTATACTTACACCAATTTGGATCATGTGCAGAAGTTCATTGTTATCTGGGTTCTTTTTACCATCCCCAAAGGGGACAAATTTATATGGGACACCATATGGTAACTCATTCAATGCAGCTTGAAAGACCTCAATGCAATAGCCAGTGAATTCTGTGCCTTTTACGCCCACAAACTCACGACAGCTAACTCGATTTGGGACACCAATCCTGAGCTTTCTTCCGTTGTCAGGGAACACCCAGCCGCGTGGCTTCTGAGTTGTTTGTCCAGGCCAGATGACGCTGTATAGTCGTTGAATACCGATGCTGGAGCCATTAGACTGCAGCTTCCTTTGAGGTTTTTCTGGTGGATCAAGTGATAAGCCAGAAGAGTTGGACCAATAACCAATTGTCCTAGTCCCTGTGCCAATCACATTGATGACTTCAAATGCAGGATTAATCAAGTTCCCATCTGGATTAAACTTAATTGGCCCAGTTAAACCAGTTGTGTTAACCTCTAAAATGCTTTGGAGCAGCTGGCTGCCACCATTGAACATGTTCAAAGCATCAAGATTCAACTTCCCTCCGCGTAACTCGTTTAAGTTCGAGTCAGTTGAAAATGAAATATTTCCCCCTCGAGCAAAAAATGAATCAAGGGCAACAGCAAGATGCCTTACAGAATCATAGGCATATAGACCATACGTATTTAGCCCAAAAGAAGAGCCATTCACTCTTCTTGCGCTAGTTAAGTTGCTCCACCGCGATTTAAATTTCTTTTTGAGCTCCGATTCTGGTGTGTACATTTTTAATGTAAGAACCCCTTGAATGTCATCTGTTGATACAAAAGGCAGGGAAGGATCTGTATCTATTATGGTAGAGAACCAATCAGTAGCAATCCAGACATATCCACTGGCCATCATCATGAGGTTTCGTGCTTCAGTAAGCACTTGTAGACCCCAACTGGTATAAATGTGCAGTATCAGAATCCTGGACTCCATTGAAGAAACACTAACCAGTGCCTTGGTGATTTCATCTTTTGTTGCTTTGGGGTTCAGAGGCACTTTGTATGAAATTTTACACCGTTTTTCGTATAGCTTGTCCCCTAAGGCAGCAATGGCATTTCTGCCAAAATCATCATTCACATATATTGCTATGACATCTCTCCACTCATAGTAGCCAACAAGGTCTGCTACTGCAGTCATCTGAAAGAGGTCACTTCTTGTTGTCCTAACCAAGAATGGGAACTGAGTTGGAGACAGAGTAGGGTCTGTTGCTGCAAATGATAATAGTGGGACTTTTAGCTCATCTGCAATATGTGAGATTACATGAGCAGTAGCTGAGAATTGGGGGCCAATTATGGCCACTGTGTCATTCTCCATGAACTGCAAAGCTGTCAAGGAACAATAAATATCCATCATTCTTACTAAGACTTGTGTAAAGGAACTGATAAAACTTTTGAGTGAAAACATGGGAAATTTAATTAGTGTGTACCCTCAATGATGCCCAGAAAGTCACTAGATTTGGTATTCTGCATTTTAAGTGTCAGCTTTGTTCCATTGAGAATTTGTGGATCAGAATTGACATCTTCGACTGCAAGGGCTATTGCAACTTTTGCAATTTTGCCAATGACAGAATCGAAAGTGAAAATCGCGCCTATGTTGACAACGTCAGGTCTTGCAGTAGTAATAGTAGCACCAACACCAAGTCCATTTGAAGAAGCACCATTATAGAAAACCATAAATAGCATAAGCAACAAGGCTTTGTTCATGGTGGTCTGCACACTGCAAAAGGACCAAAATATCTAATGGGAAAGAGAAGTTGGTAATTAACAACAAAAATAAAAGAACATGCTCCAAAAACACATGCATGAAGCTGACCAAATATCTAGCAAAGCAATACGAAAAAGATGAATTTGAAGGGCATAAAGAAAAATAATGAAGCTTACATTATTTGCTCTCAACTCAAGACAAATATGTGTACGCAAAAGCAAGAACAAGCAAACGAGATTATATAAGCACCCAAGCTACACTGGCAAATAAGAGCTACCCCATGAGTCTATTATTGTAGGGACTTCAAAAGGGTGAAGTGGAAGGAATTATGCAAGTGGATTTCATAAAATATCTAGCTTTATTCCCTCCCCCCCCCCCCAATAAAAGACTAGATTTAGCTGTGAACAAGATTCTGAAAATCTACATCAGCCCTCATATCTCTTCATCTGACAAATAGCCAATGAAAATGAATTAGCAACTTTAATTTTGATAACAAAACTTATGAGCAAATAACTTTTTATAGATGGTCTTTGTTTTGTTGCAAGCAAAAAGTAGCTTTGATAGAGCAATGGGGACCAAAGTCTGCATCTACTTTACATTGCTGTATGAACTGATGGTGTCTGTGACTGGCCTAATCAAGTCGTGAACCTCATTGATCTTCCTGCATAAGAGTCATATTCAATAATGTGATTGAGTTACGGGTCCAATTTTTTCTGGTTTATTATAAAATAATGCTAAGCTCAAATAGTCAAAATCTGGAGTGTCATATCGTTGGATAGTTCATGACTCTAATATTATTGTTCGGGCTATACCTTTTCATTCAAGTATTGTGAACTTAGAACTGATCAGCAGACCCATAAAAGTTTTAAACTTTAATCTAGTACCTCTTAAATTCATTGAATTGATTAGCAAGTCATTTTCCACCATAAGGGCATGACATGTTAATAAGTTAATAACGTGGCCTAACGAGTCCACACGCAGGTCAACTCAGTGATCAACCTTACCACCATGTTAATAACGTGGCCTAACGCTCGTGAACCACTGCAGCAATACTGCCTGCGCTCGCTCCATCTTTCAAGGCTTTCTCAAATTCTTCTGGTGAGTTGAGGGGCACAAGTCTTGACCTGTGTATGTTTAGCTCGTCTGTCAAATATTTTCCAACAAAGGAACCTTTTGGGAAACCAATGGGATCATTACCTGTTGCTAAACTTTCAATGCCTTTAATGGGGGAAGAAAGCTGCTCTACTGTGAGGATTGAGTTCAGGCTTTCAATGTAGCTTGAGTATATCATTAGAACTACAAATAGCCATATGATTAGCACAAACCGACCAAGCGTGCTGTCAGTTTTTAATTCTGCATGTGTTAAGATCAGCCAGTTATATCTAAACAATATTAGTACATAACATAAGTTCAATTGTGCATGTATAAGTCAGGTAGTATGGATACAGAGTTACAGTACTACTTAGCTCACTTATTGTGGGTAGAGAACAAAGTTGAAAAGCTAAACCTGCAGAACTCAAAACAAAAATATTATATAATACCAGATGGGGATTTTAGCCTTAATTGAAGAGATGAAGATAAACCTCCACAGAACATATTCAGAACTGCATTTGGATATGTGGATTTGAGTACTAACCAAACAATAGTCACACATTGTTTTCTTGGAGGGCCCCGGAAATCGTCGTGGTGCTCCAAAATCCCAACAACTGCTCCCACAACTAGGAAGAAAATACATGCGACACCCCACAACATTGGAGTAAAAGGTCTCAGAAAAGTCCAAGCACTAGAGTTCAACTTCCTTAATGGAGCAACTACAACTAGCCCAGACTCAATAAATGGCTGTGTAAAATCCGCAAGTTTTGTTCTGCTAGTGGTGATGGCATTATCTCCTACAACACCGTCAGGCTCCTGCATAAATATGATAGTCCACAGAATTAAAATTGTAAAGACAAAAATAAGACCAAACTGAGAAAGTTTTTGTAACTTATACTCACACCAATTTGGATCCTGCGCAGAAGTTTTTCCGGGGTTTTTTCATCACCCCAAAACGGGACAAATTTATATGGGACACCATATGGTAACTCATTCAATGCAGCTTGAAAGACTTCAATGCAAAAACCAGTTATATCAGTGCCTAATACTCTCACAAACTCAGCATAGTTAACTCGATCTGGGACTCCAATCCTGAGCTTTCTTCCATTGTCTGGGAAAACCCACCCACGAGGCTTCTGAGTTGTTTGTCCCGGCCTGATGACGCTGTATAGTTGTTGAGTACTTGTACTGGAACCATTAGATTGCTGCTTCCTTTGGGGCTTCTCTGGAGGGTCAACTGATAGGCCAGAAGAATTGGACCAATATCCAACAGTCCTGGTCCCTGTGCCAAATTCCAATCACATTGATGACTTCAAATGCAGGATTAATTAAGTCCCCATAGAAAAACTCCAGCAACCGATTCATAATTTTTCAGGCACCAAATTTCTTAAGCTAAACATACACAAACAAAAAACAAATGTCCTTGGGCATGATGGTCAATTCCTTGACTCCTCCAGTGCAAAAGTTGGGAAGATTAAAGTTTGAAAATTGATATTCACTCGGAGCTTTTCCGGAAAATAGTAAAAAGTTTACAATTTTAACTTTTAGCTATATTCTCTCAGTGCACACACAGCCCAATTGTATAGTGCCATCTGCACTGTACTCCTTTTCATCAATTCATGATTTTGTGCAAGGAAATGCAAAGAAGTAAGAACCCCTTGAACATCATCCATTGCCACTAGGAGGAGAAGGGGATAATCCTCCCCGTCATCCACAGGTTTTGTGCCACATGACCCTATAAAAAGCTGCTTTTTAAAAGAAAGGCACTATAAATAAAGCCACCTCAAAGTTGCTGAATCATTGTCGTCATCAAAAATAAAAGTTGCAAATTCATTGCCATTGTCTAGACTCAAGTATTACATGAAAAGATACGAGGTTTGATATAGATTCGGATTATTTTTGGACCACCTTGTTATAAAGTGTGACCTTCAAAGCTAAATCATTGCAACATAATTAAAGAGGTTAACTATTTGCTGAGGGGGGATAACTATTTGAATAACTCCTTCCACTTCACTCTTTTGAAGTCCCTGCCTTGATAGAGTCACAAACCATTTTTTTGGCTTCTAACTCATTCAAGATAGTTTGAACTTAGAACTGATGAGAAGATCCATAAAGTTTTGAACTTTATATCTACTGCCTCATAAATTCATTGAATTTATTAAATGTTTGAACTTTGAATTGAATGGACTAATTTAGCATGTTCCTCTAATATATTATGAGTTGGAAAGCTGTTAGCAACACTTTCTGCCATAACTTTTTCTTGTCTAGCTATATGCTATCTTTATGCAATTTTGAGCAAAATTTGGATTTTGGGCACCCTTATACAATTGGAGAAAGACTTTTATAAAACGGGGATAACACGATTTTGTTATTTCCGACCAATAATATTATGACACATGTGACAACACTTCCATGTAACATAGTATTATTGGTAAATAATATTATCCACATATGTCGTTTGATTGATTGCTTCATTGGCTTTTTAATTTCTAAAGCTATTTAAGTGTGACATCTTTCCAATATAAGAAAAGCACAAAATAGGAAAAGGGAAACCCACATTTTCATGTGACAATACAAGATGAAGTGTAAAGAATCCAATGGTAGCTTCAAGGAGATCCAAGATTAAAGAGCTACCACAATAATACAATAATGCAATCACAAAGGGCGTACACGTGTCAGTACCCCAACTCCCTTCGAAGGCGCTACAATGTCGACCGAAAACCCTGGAATTGCCAGTCAACCAAGCACACATTATAACCAAGTTCTCTTTCCTCTCCAACGGTTCCCCCTTCCCTACTACTATGCTATGGTCTTAGGCTCTCAAGATTATCCTTCCTCTGTTTTTTGTCTTATATCTTTTCGAATTATTTCATTTTGGCTTTTGAATTCTTGCATATTTGCTGAATTCTCGATCTGGGTTTTGTAAATTTTTATCTGTATTGCCTGGAAACACTCAAAATTCGGCATGAGAATGTGCTTGGTTCACCACACAACACAAGAAACAGAGGGCCATTGTCTTTCAAATTGTAAAGGAGCTTGCTTTTGCGATCTGTGATATGCACGTTATGCAAATTTTGCATCTTCGATCGACTGCTTGATAGTTTGGACAGCTGGGTTTGTGTGGTCTGGCTTTTGGAGGCATTTATTGTCTAAAAATGCGTTGTCTGTGAGCAATGGGCCTTGGTTGACAGTTGGTTTTGGCTTTTAGCTGAAGGTCATCTGAATTGGGTTGTTTTCTTCGCAGTTATGGTGGTTTAGCTAAAAGGGTTGAGAGTTTAATGGGTTAGGAAGGAGAAAAATGGCTTCAGGAACTGCAGATATCTCGCCTCATGTAACCAGATTGGATGGTGGGTGCTTAAACGATGGTAGTATGCCTATCATGGAGGATCAAAATGTTGATGCTTTGGGAAATTCGAACCACGTTCCTACTGGAAAGCCTCCAAGAAACCTCTCAGTTATGCGGAATTGCACAAGCTATGCATTGTTGACCGAATCAGTAAGTCTGAGTGAAGCCCTGTGCCGTCCTCTCTTTCTTTCCTAATCTTCTCTTTTTTGTTAATTGGGTTTGCAAATTATTGTACATTTCCAATTAAGAAGATGCATTTGATGTATGTCATGCTGACGGATGTTTGTGTTTTCTTCATTGAGTTGAGGCCTTCTAAGTCTATGTTGCATTGTGGAGGAATTGAATGATAACAGCTGAAATGAATCTGGGATTTCCTGCCTAACGTTGAGTGAATGAATGGCGTCCTAGAAACTATAAGGAAACCATTTCCAATTAAGAAGATGCATTTGATGTATGTCATGCTGACGGATGTTTGTGTTTTCTTCATTGAGTTGAGGCCTTCTAAGTCTATGTTGCGTTGTGGAGGAATTGAATGATAACAGCTGAAATGAATCTGGGATTTCCTGCCTAATGTTGAGTGAATGAATGGCGTCCTAGAAACTATAAGGAAACCATTTTCAATATGTTCAAGTAGCCAGGGATTGCTGTTTGCAAACTGATCTGGTTTTTCCTTGCATGCTTCAAATGGAAACCGTAGAAATGCGTAGGTAGTTGATGCCATTTTGGATCGTTGATCCTTCTAGCTGCAAGTAGATCAAGTTCTCTCTCTCAAGTTGAACCCTTTGTGTCTTCTGTTATATATTAGCAAATTAATGCCATCAGTCATCACTACCTCTCTTTGATCTGCTCCTGTATGCGATGCATGTTTCTGTGTGCATACAGAGGTACTTTCCTAGGTCAACTATATAATGCTTAGTTGACACAAGATGCTTTAATTAGTATATCAATGCTATGACTCCAAAATTTGGAGTTTTGTGGTTGAATTAGGCCTCTATTTCGAAGAAGTAGTATATTAACTAATTATTCCTCTATGTTCCTTTTTCTTAGGAATCAGATATTGGAAGTATGGGCTTGAAGTCACCAGCAAGTGAGACGGCAGAGTTCGTGTCTGTATTCCGTTCAGGAAGCTGTTCTGAGAAAGGACCTAAACAATACATGGAGGATGAGTATATTTGTGTAGATGATCTTCATGAACATCTTGGTCAAATGGAAAACTTGCCTTCTCCTGGGGCATTTTATGGGGTGTGTAACTTGCTCTCGTTAATTTCTTTTTGCGCAGTGCTTTTTTGGAGTGACAACCATACTTCACTTCCACCAATGAATTTTCCATATCATGTGACAAAGGCCATCTTATTCACTTTATCCCTGAGTTGGGCATTCTAATCTGTTAGAAGCTAGGTGACAAGAAGCATTTATATCCTTCTATCCTAGAGTATTAATTGGACTCTTACTGAGATTTTGTTGACTTCCACAGGTCTTTGATGGACACAATGGTGTTGATGCAGCGTCGTTTATTAAAAAAAACATCCTTAGATTCATTGTTGAAGACTCTTACTTCCCATCAGGCATTAGAAAGGCAGTTAGGAGCGCCTTTGTGAAGGCTGATCATGCATTTGCAGATGCTAGCTCTGTTGATAAGTCCTCTGGTACCACTGCTTTGACTGCCCTTATTTTAGGAAGGTGAGGAACTGTACTATAAACATCTAGCTATATATGATTATCTGCATTCATGAGTAATTATCTTTTGTTGGAGCTGACTAATCATTGAAGTTGGTACAAAATAATTAAATTGTGTCTATCCTGTTTACTTTCCCGTGGACATTTGCTCAATACTGTACTCTTGCAGGACCATGCTAATCGCTAATGCTGGGGATTGTCGAGCTGTGTTGGGGAAGCGGGGAAGGGCAATTGAACTATCTAAAGATCACAAACCTAACTGCACCTCTGAAAGATTAAGAATTGAGAAGCTGGGCGGTGTCATCTATGATGGCTACCTCAATGGCCAACTATCAGTGGCACGTGCTCTTGGTGACTGGCATATCAAGGGCTCTAAAGGGTCAAACTGCCCCTTAAGCTCTGAGCCAGAATTGGAGGAAATTGTCCTAACGGAAGAAGATGAGTTCTTGATAATGGGCTGCGATGGCTTGTGGGATGTGATGAGCAGCCAGTGTGCAGTTACAATGGTAAGGAAGGAGCTCCTGCAGCATAACGATCCTGAGAGATGTTCAAAAGCGCTTGTCAAGGAGGCACTCCAACGGAACACATGCGATAACCTGACTGTTGTTGTGGTCTGTTTCTCCGAAGATCCACCTCCTAAAACCGAAATTCCTAAGTCCCAGAAGAGGAGAAGTATTTCAGCTGAAGGGTTGGACCTTCTCAAGGGTGTCTTAAGCAATATCTGAAAACACAACGGCTTGCATACATAAATGTGCAGCTTACACCCCTAGTTGGGAACTTTTCTGAGTTGCTCCTGTGCCCTGCTGCGGATGTCGCTTCCTGATTTCTTTAACTGTACGTCCTGTCCAATTTGAGATACTATTAACAATCTCAAATTTTGAAGCTTTGATTCGGAAATTTTTTGAATGTTAGAAATATATATAAGTTGCTGCAAGGCTCTCTTGCACCAGTCAGCCTACTTCAACTTGGTTATAGGATTTAAATAGCAAACTATAAAACAAGTAGTCCTGTGTAGAACTTGAAGAAATGGATCCTGTATAAAGCCTTTTTTTTTTTGCTTTTTTCTTTTTCTTCTGGGTTCATTTGCCTTGGGTGGCTGGATATTGTAAATAAGTCATACAATTGATATATTGACATTCACTCTTTAAAGCATAATGGGCAAGACATTGGCTGCTACAACACTACAAGTCCATTTTCCTTCCTACAAAGTATGTTGTATGGCAGTGGACCTGGGTAGTGCAATACATTGCTATAACAAATAAGATCAAACACTTGACTATGGATCAAATGATCTTAAAATAGGCCTTGTAGTAGCATATCATACCCTTTATATATAAGCGACTACACTTTTATATAGGCCTAGAAATTTTATCTTGATTCTTAATGACTACACTTTTTATATATAAGCGATATTAGAGGCGGGAGAATTCGAACAAAGGACCTTATGTGCATGTGTAAGCAAACAAAATGTGTTGTAGGCTATATTGACATTCACTCTTTAAAGCATAATGGGCAAGACATTGGCCGGTACAACACTACAAGTCCATTTTCCTTCCTGCAAAGTATGTTGTATGGCGGTGGACCTAGGTAGTGCAATACATTGCCATGTATGGCGGTGGACCTGGGTAGTGCAATACATTTGTAGTAGCATATCATACCCTTTTTGTTACCCTAGAAATTTTATCTTGATTCTTAATGACTACACTTTTTATATATAAGTGATATTAGAGGCGGGAGAATTCGAACAGAGGACCTTATGTGCATGTGTAAGCAAACAAAATGTGGTGTAGGCTACTACATTAAGATTTCAGACCTACTGCATTAAGATAATAAAAATTGCCAAAAACCCAATTTGAAGTTTAGCCCAAATGTGCGGTTAGATTATTGAGAAACCAATTTACTAATTTGCCCCGGACACAATAATATCGTGTTGCTAAATACAGCAATCGCATGCTCCACATTTTATTCTTGCGATTCCATCACCACCCAACTACCATTCCAAACAAGCTATATAAATCAAAGCCTATTTTTGTCATTTCGATTAATAATTCCGCACCCGCTACCCATAACGCATGCGCCAAAGCGTCCACGTGTCCCGCTATTTTCACTGCACAGCCACAAAGAAACACAAGGAAACATAGCGAAACGAATCCCAACCAATGGATTGATAGCACACGGATCGCATGTGGCAAATTATTTTTCAAAATCCCGCCTAAACCCGGATGTCAAATTTTCCGAAGCAAAATTTAATTTCCGCCTTTTGGGACACTAGCCCATAACTTCTTATCTCTTCACCTCACACACTTTGCCAAAATTTACGTACACGCACCCCCCACGTGCTATTCAATATATTCTCTGCTTTTCAGTCTTCTTCTTCCTTCGTTTTCCAAATACCTCATGTTATCAGCTAAAACCAGAGCCAGGAACGATCTGGTTTCTCTTTGCTAAAACCTTCTTTTCGCACACCCTTTTTCTGCCTCTACCACATTCCCAATTTTCTTTTCAAATCAAATGTTGGAAAGCATTGCACTTGCAAAATGGCTTTTTGTAGCCATCAAGAAACAACACGAATTCTAAGAATTCATCAAGCTTGACCAAGAGAGACTTGTTGCGTAGATACAGCTGCACCAAAATGGATTCAGCTGCATCCTCAACTTGTGATACTCGCAAGTGCACGAGCCGTTCGGTAGTATAGCGTATGTAAGTGCGAGGTCGATCCCACGAGGATTGGTGATTGAATGATTCAATTCATTTTCCCTACACAAAACAGAAATGAAAAAGAAGGGAAATAAATAAAACAAGGAAGAAAGAAAATAACTAACTCAAGCAGATAAGTTCCCAAGTTCAATTAGATTAACGGATTGATTCTAGCTAATGTATGATTAAGCCATGGTGTGTGGTCATAACCTTGTGTTCCTAATTCCCTAATTTGATCATTTGTTGTCTAACCTAAAATTAAGCATTAGGAACCCATTAAGCATAGAAGAACAATTTAAACAACCAAGCATGTATCTAATCCCTGTTGTCGAATGTCCATACATACTCTTCCTATTCATAGTTCAATTCGAATTAAAGCATGGTGTATACTCTTAATTCAAACCAAGATAGCTAACATGCAAGCCTAAATAGTGATCAATCATTCAAACTAGCATATTAACTTATAAGCATAATGAATAAGAACAAAAACCATAATTGAAACTTGAAAACTAATT